AGAGAGAGAGAGAGAGAGAGAGAGAGAGAGAGAGAGAGAGAGAGTGTTGAAACAGTTACATTGGATGCATGCTAATTTAATCATGTGTTACTCCAAAATGTTCAATCAACGCCTATAATTCCAGTGATCTCACTCAATTAAAATGTCCAGACCATACTGTCATTGAAAAGGGTTCTGTTTATCACAAGAAAATACCTATACAAGCATTGATTATGGAACGCAAATATTCACATAATTGTATGTTTTATCAGTACCCTATTTATCAAGTAGAATAATTATTTAAATTCTTATTTTACTTTTGAGTTAGGTACAATTTAAATCTTTTTGGATAAATACAATTTTCATTTTTCAAATCTAACAACAAAGTAAGCTATTGATGACACAAATAGTAAGCAATTAATTTTAGAAATCCTGTCGCGTGATCAAGAGATAACTACAAAATCATCTCAATTTTCAATATGATGAGATACATGTCAATTATATTCGACTTGTTCAGAATTCAAAGTCTTGTCCCTTTTTGGCGCTCGCCATCAATACTCGCCCCTACTTGCGCGCTACTACATTGTCCCTCTTTGCTACTTTTATATAATCTATGATTGATATGATTTATTTCTATTCTCAAAATTCATTAAAATCATTATAGATCCTATTTTGGTTATTCGAAGTATGTAACTTAAAAGTCGAATTTTCAACTTATCTATGACAAATGGTTACTCATCATTACAAATTATATGATGTGTTATTATAAACTACTATTCGTTACTTTAGTACCGTATATACGATAATATTATCATTTCCAAATGGTTTCTTTCAAGAGCGAATTTTTCAAATTATCTACTAAATATTAACTGATAATTATCTTTAAATCTGATCCTCTAATTTATTATCCTTGTTTTCTGATAACCCTGTGACAAATTATCAACTGCTTTTGGTTAATTTGATGTACAGTGTACCGTTATAATCGCATTGCGCTAACATTATACTGTATCGGTACCAATTCATATGGAATATTATAGTCAATGAATTAATTTTAAATACGTAAGAATACTCCTTTTAGTTATACTCAATAATCACATATTTTTTTTGTTCAAATATGAATCAACTCATAGATGGATAAGTACAATTAAATAGGAAACGAATACTTCTTCTAAATATGAGACTGTTAATTCTTGTAAATTGTTTACTTTATTTAGGTCAACTGATTTATTATAAAATGATTAATAACTAACGTTACACTTCTCTTATACTAAGTTATTAACTCTAAGATATAAATATTTTCTTATTTATTACATTCATAATTAATTATTGTAAAAACTTAGATTATTGTTTTTAATTTATTGTAACTTATATCCGATGAACTTTTCATTAATATATATTGAACATACAGTGGCGATTAATATATTACGAAAATCTCAAAATAAAATCTTGATACAAAATATGTAGAAAAATTGTCATAAATGTTTACCTACCTATTGAAATTATTTCTTTGTTAATTTATAAGTATAAATTATAACTTTATTTTGTTTATAATTCTTAGAATAAAATATAAATCTAGTAATGTCAGTTTATGTGTTGTTATGTATGATTAACATGCTTGACACCGCTATAAAGATGCAAATCAATGGTTTAATAATTTCAATAATGTCAATTTAATTTTATTAGTTTAACAACACTGTCTTTTTTATTTTTAAGGATATAAGATATTGTCATTTATTACTAGCTATATTAAAATGTAACATACGTAAATTACCAATGTTTTAATTAATTTAATAGTTTACTATTTAGTACATCATCTTTAACATTAATACATAATACACACATCACTTAATATTTGTCATCAAAATATTAATACTCTTTTAATGTATATATTTCTAATATTTCTAACACCAAAATTTTATCGTAACAAAGTTCGAAATTTCATCAGATAGACAAAATAGAAGTTCAATTATCTATTACAACAATGTTATCCTTTTTGGAGAAGCAATATAAACAGATAAACATCAATATGCCTACGTCCAAACAAACATTAAATATTTGTTCAATAAATAAAAAATAATATTATGTATTAAATTAAAATAAAATGTTCTTAAAGTACAAACCTTACAATCACATTGTTTTAATAGTCGAGAGAGATGAAATTTAGGATCACAGATGTAAACTAATCCACCAATAAAAATTGCGATTCCGTGTCAAGAATTATACCACACTATGGACAAGAAAAGGAAAAGAGAAACTCACAGATGTACGGTCACCGGGACACTAGATTGAGTTGTGACGGCTTGCTCTGTTGCGTCGAGAAGCTGCGCGCGCCGCTCTTTTTCTCCCACCATTAGCCACTGGCCCAGGATCGAAAGAACTACTGATAAACTTAAGTCTTGATAAAAATTGGAACTTTATAGAGCACAATGCTATGTCATAAGTAAATTTCATACTAGGGAATACCTTAGTATTCATTCATTCTTATTAATAGTTTTTCTTAGAATACATATTTATACAAATTATAGGGAAACATTGTATTTCATTGCGTGATTAAATATTTATACTATTTTATTTTTGTAATGTAAGATTTCCGAGGATAATTATAAAAAATTTCCTACAAATAAAAGAAAAGTTATTTTAATACTTTTCTATATCTTCATAACTTTAAGTTATTCGTTAAATCCAAAATGTACGTTATAAAAGATTAATTACGAAAGTTTGTATCTATTTCGAGAATATTTCATAGCCATTGCTAGTTCTATCCTCCACCCACAGGGGTCCAAGGTGCCCCAACCTGCTTGGCTGATTGAGACACCAGCCTGGTTCCAACACTACCCTCTTCACCCCTGCTTTCACCCGTACCCTTCGCACAGCGACGTTGAACAGTCCGGCATTTAGATGCGTTCCGTTCTTTCTTACGTTTCTCCTCCTTCCAATGCCGATCTTCCATCGGGCTCCCTTTCAGGCCCCTCACTACTTCTATTCCCTACCACTAGCGTTCACCGAGCTGCTGTGACTCTCAACTCCAATTTTACTCCTTTAAACGAGAAGCGGTAGGCAGGGAATGAGATTAACTGTTTGAGTACAAATTGAACCGGTTAATCGTTTCTACAGGGAGAGTCAGAAGCTTAGGAGAAAACGAAATCGTAGTACGTGATTCCCTAATTTTGTCTATTTATTATCAAATGACATCAAATTATTTTTTTAATTTTTGTATACCGTTCGATTTGTTTTATTATAAAATAAAATTTTTAAATATTATTATTTATATATTTTATATATTTCTCTTTATGAGATTATTTTATACATTATTTTTTCGATTTAATAGATGAGCAAATTAAATAAGAGGCTATTTGTTTCTAGGTTAACGAAACGGCATGCGCGCGTGTCTCAGTTTACTTAGGATATCCTAAATAAATGCTTTTGTCTTTGTTTACTCAGGATTGATGTTCTCTGTTAAAGGCCCCGTAAGTTTTGCTGAATGAGGTAAAAGATTCTTGGCGGTTCTCAATCTGTTTACTAATATATTTGTTCATTCTTTTTTGTGATACTCTGTACATACACATACATAAAGCAGAAGAAATTCATAAGGATTCATTCCACTTTGATCTGAAGATTAAAATTTGAAACTCATCGAATGATAAATAAGATAAATGTCAAGATTACATAGCTTCCTGTAATTCAGGAAATATGATGAGAGATACAGAGCAGACGATTTTGATAGAGCACGACTGATTTACGGTAGAATAAAGGAAATAGATTGTCTGATATAGAACAAAGATATGTGGGCGGTAATTCACATAACCTAAAGATAACAATCAATCTGAATAACCAGTTTTAATGTTAATTAATTTGTTTATATTGTTATTTGGATAATGTTATTAAACGAATATTACAAAAATCAAATTAATTAACAAAAATAATTCAGGATATAGATACGAAATTTATTTTATACTTGATATAAAATTGAAAAATTACACATATACTAAAATTATGAAAACCGTGCAAATAATGCAAATAACGATACAAATGAAACAATACTTGTATGTTCAATTTGACATGAATGAATATAAAATTAAAATATATTTATTTTAACAAACTCTGTGATGTTCAGTCTTTCAGCTTTCAAATTTCATCTATTATACTTTTTACAGATATTTCATTATCTTAAACTCATTTTTTTCAATTTCCAATAGATAACGCTACGCATAATATAGAAATAACCCAATAACAATTAAACACACGCAATATTCGTAATTACTAAATAATCTAATACTAAAATTCCTACAAAGTGCAAACTTAGAGCTGTATCTCAACTTTAAGAGCAGAACACGAAGGGTCAGCATGACAGTTTTTGTTCTCTGCCTATCTCTCTCGTTTTCTCCTTCTCTCTTCCTCGCTGTCAGTTTCTCTTGATGGTCTTTTTGATCTTCTCGAAGCAATTGTCCCAAGCGAGAACCCGGTTGAGGCAATAACGACCGCAGGCCCAACCTATCCTGTACCTTCTGACGTCTTAATAAAGCAATCGTCCGATTTCTTGAAACCCTTCTTCTTTTGCTCTGAGCCACGCTCCGAAGGCTTTCGAAAGAAGGCTCTTTGCTTCGTTCAACATCTCGATTTATAGGATGTTTCTCTATATTTATAGTACATTATTACATAATTACACAATATTCTGTTTAACAGATCACTTATATCTTTTATGTAAATTCAGTTGATATCAATTATCATGTTTTTACTTAAATAGTATAAGTAATATTTCACAGCCGTGTTTTTCAATCTTTTATACATTATGTACCCCTTGAAAAAATATACACGATCGGTATACCTCTCATATTAATCAACAAAACTATAGTTACAGTATAAGGATAGAAATATATATATAATGTTTTATTTTATTTCCATTATTATACTATAATTATAGTTTTGTAAATTAATATGAGGGATATACCAATTACGCACAGGCATGCACATTAAATTTTTCAACACGTAGTCTGTTGCTATATTTATTTTTTAAAGCAGTTGAAAATGAAAACTGCGTAAAGACAACGTACCCCCAGAGATATGCGTATCCCATGTTGAGAACCTTTACTTCACAGTATTGACAGTCTATTATCAGTAAATAAAACCAAACTTATTATAAGTATTATTTTTTTTTTAAAATTAATCGATTGTTTACAAAATATCACGAAGAATATTTGCAACTTATCGAAATATTTGTAAAAATAGGACTTAGATTATACGTTTTTAAACATTCATTTATTCTATTTGGATATATTATCTTTTACAGATTAAGAATCATTTTTTAGCATTTGTTATCACTTTTATAAAATGTAATAGGAACTGTATATTTCAAAGTCCTGACACATTATTTGGCCTTTGAAAGTATAGATTTACCTAGAGTTTCGATCACACTTCATTTTGTTTAAAAAGCAGTAGCTATGTCTCGTTGGCACCTTAATGTGTATTTTTTCTTTTTACAAAAAGCATTTGGAAGAAAAGACAAACAATATAAAAATAACATTTAGAAACAAATACATAAAATGTTATTGTTACTTATTATCTTATTGAATCTGAAATAAAGTTGTATAATTAAATTTTAAATTAGATTGTTGAGGTAGATGCATAAAAATAATTAACGTAACATAAAATTAACCATTAATTTTCTTTTAATTACTTAATTTTTATTTTTTCATTTAAGATAATAATTGTATTATTTAGTTTCAGTTTACTTCTTTTATGTTTAATCCAATTTTTTCACATTTTGTTTCATACACAATTCTACTGTATAAAAAACCATTTTCAACGCAAATAAAATAATTGCAGATACTTTATTCTATACACAATTTACAATAATTTTTTTCTTCGTAAAAGAATATTTGATTTAGTTCGTATTTTATTTATATTCTAGCTACCTTAGAATTACGTTGATATAAAGTAAAAGGTAGAAAGAATTAACTTTCATCAACATTGGAAATGTTACCGTAATAAATATACATATTAAAACAGCATACTTCTGATACAGATCTTCGTATTCTTTCCAATTTCGTTTTGATCTATTTTATGCAATTCAACTGTATCAACTATAACATATAACGTTTGATAATTTATATTTCAAAAAATTATAAAATTTTTAGTACATATTTTCACGTTTAAGAAAATTTTAAGAAAACTTTATGTAAGATTGACAACCCTCAATACACTTGTAACTTTTTTTCAGGACTGAAATAAAAGTAAGAAATTAATCAACTTAGTAATTTTTATTATAATCATTACAAACGTTAAATGCGAATCGCAATTTTGTTTCTTATACCCTAACACGCTGGAAAGGAAGCGAATGCCCCAATAAATAATAAACGAAACAGAAAAAAGAAAATGAAAAATATTAAACGGAAATTAAAGAATGTATCATCGATAACTATCCTACATAAAACGGAATATTATATTTTACGTTATTACCATTTTAATGGACATTATTGATGACACGTAAAATAATGGATAACTCAAACGAAATCAGCGTAATTAAAAAGGAGGATGTGTCATTTACTACGCTAAGCTATAATACGAATTCTAAGTTTGCTAAGGTGTAACGGAACAATATCTTTCAGAGAAACTGAGCAAATATGAATCGAAGTGCAATAAGATGCTTAATACATTTAGGAAAGAATTTACTCAATTGTTCTCGAAGTTTTTGTTTGTTGGTACATACTATTGTAGAGTTTTATTGAAAAATAGAAGTGTTTATCAGTTTCTCCTTAAATATTTTAAACATATAATGATAAACAAGTAATAGAAGCTGACCTTTCCTTTTTATCACACAATAATCATACTTCTCTCATGCACGCATATCAATGTTTTGTTTCGTAAAGTATAACGTAACTGTACATGAAATCACTTATATTACTACTATATACACTAAGTTGTTTCGTCAATTGATCCGTCAATTTTGAAATTGTTGAAATTGTGTTGTGGTATATTCAATCGAATCGATATTAATATAATACCGAAATAATAATATTATTAATATAATAATAATAGCAATGAAACATTAACGTAGATATGTATAACAGCATAACAAATATAGTATGATATATTCAAAACGAATATTCGTGATTAAATATAAAAAAATACTTATAATTTAGTATAATTTCAAATTCTTTTATAATTTTAATAATGTTCATTATTTATCTAATATTATTATAAACTCTGTATATTGCTATCTTTGTACTATTTCTTTGTTTGCGGAGATTTATAAAAAAGAACGATAAATTTTGAATGCAAAATATCGATACCGATCGAATTACCTAAAATTAATTTGAGATCGAGTCAAATTCATTGCGCCTACAAAGTCAAAACTTAAATATTGTAAGAACTTAAATAAATCATCTAAGAGCCCAGGGACTGTTCATTTATTATATCATATTAACTTATAGTCACTTTCAATCTACTGTAAATTCTTTATATATATCCTGTAATCTTTAAGGTCATAATTAATTAAGCTCACTCTCTTTTTTTATTTTATCTTTCTTTATATTTGCTTGACATAATGAAAGAACTGTCCCTTATAAAATTTGTGAAAGCTATTTTTATCACTTAATCTAACATATTTACAAATTATCGCGTCATCGGTATGAATTTCCATAAATTCCAAGGTACATATCACGCATTAATTCATTTGTATTTTTTATACAGAATAAAGTAATACAAACAGCGATTATCTTTGACAATTTTTAGGAATACGTGGACATGTTTCGAATAATATTAACTAAAACTAATGAATAAAAGGAATCCTGTAGAAAGACTATATAATCTTTTATATTGATGTATATTTAATAAAAATATGCGTTTGTAAAATATCTTTCTTAAGTTTCTAATATTTTATTCTTAGTTAGTAATCTTTAATCATATTAGAATTCGTTTAACATTGAAGCATAGAAAATTTGTATCATTTAAAATAATTTAGAAAAAATTCAAATACTTAATATTTCACATTACTTACCACCATAAATAGAATACTCTATTTTATGAACAATCCGTTTTGTAAACATTATTTAACATTAATTATTTTAAAACTGGATTTTACATTCCATTAAATTCAATTTTTGGTAAATCTGATTTTCATTGAACCCATTTCCACGTATTCTTCATTCTTTAAACAATGTTTAACAGCTCTACCTCACCACATTCTTCAAATTATTTAATCTCAATTTGGCACTCATTTTCTTGCATCATCGCTTTCATCTTCTGTACTATACCTAAGTGTAGAATAAACATATTCTTGATTCGAATTTTCATTTTCGTCTTCATACATTTCTTGATGAATCAATATTTGATCTCCTTCAGCAACCATCAGAACAGCACCTTCCAAATCATCCAATTGCATGTTTTCCACCCTCTCTTCATTTTCTTCATTTACTTCATTCTCTTCTTCCTCGTCTGTTTCTTCAATTTCTTCATTTCCTTCATGCTCTTCTGATTCTTCAATTTCTTCAATTTCTTCATTTCCTCCATTATTTTCCATTTCTTCAATAACTTCATTTTCTTCATTATCTTCATTGTCGTCATTATCATCATTATCATCATTATCTTCATTTTCTTCGTTTTCTTCAATCTGCTCACTGTCTTCATTTTTTTCAATCTCCTCATTATCTTCAGTTTCTTCTATTTCTTCATGTAATTCGATGTCATCATTTTCTTCGATTTCTTCCTCATTTTCTTCCGTGGAATTTTCATCATATTCGTTCTTTCCATCTTCAAAATCTTCATCGCTTCGATTCGCAAACGATTCAGATTCAAGTTCTAAAGATTCATTGTTAGATAAGTGTTTTTCATATAGATTCACTGATTTTGGAGAAGATCGACTTCGAATCTCTGATAAATCACACATTTCAATTCCTTTCCTGGTTAGAGAGACTATAGAACCAAGTTTATGACCCATAGATTGTTCTATAGACATACTCTCAGGAAGTAAAGGCATTATAGGACTAAGAACTGGAGGTCCATCGTCATCTGATAAGTTTGTATCATGTTTTTCTGCTTCTGAAACATTAAATGGAACAACTTAATTATAAAACACTTATAGATATTTTTTTATTTTAAATTAATTATTAAAAATATACTATAATTCAATTTAAACTGTTACAATACCTGTGTTTTTAGTTTCCTGGAGATGTTCTAAAGCAATGTTATAATGTTCCATGTTCTTTTCGTCCATTTCCAAATTATCGAGTTCTTCCGAATCTTCACTTTCTGAGTTGTAAGTTATTTCTCCAGTTGCTCTAGATTCATCTTCTGATTCATTTTCTTCTTCAGCTTCGATACTACTGCCACTTTCTGATTCTTCCGTATCTGCTTCTTCTTCTCCTTCCGATTCGAAGTCTCCTTCTTCTACTTCTCCAATTATTGCATCATCGGTTATCAGACTTCCCTTTTGATAAACATTAATGAAGGAATGTTAAATATTTACAAATATGTTCATTGATCGAAATAAGTATATTATTTATCATCTTTTGTAAATACATACTTCTGTTTTTTCGTTATTTTTCAACTGTTCTCCTTCTTCTGTCTTTCCAGTACATGTAGTCGAATGTGTAGCTTCATCTGTAATATTTTTCCGACATTTTGGACACCAAGTACTAGTACCCGCGTGTCCAATGTGAATACTTGTATGTAATAATAATTTACTACGAGCATTGTGATACCTGCCAAACAAAATCGTAATTACATGCTACATATATTATAACATTATATACAAAAACAAAACAGAATACAATACCTGCCGCAAGTTTTACATGTAAAATTGTTTCCTTCAGTTGAAAGAATCGCTTCATGTGCAGCTTTCAAATGCTCTGCTAAATCGTCATAATCTTTACAGAGTTTCAAACATACTCCACAAGTGACTGCTGCTTCTGCTCTATGGAAACGAATTAAATGTTGCCATAAATGTTTCTTAGCTGGCCATTGTTTTCCACACACTTCACAAGCACATTCTGTATTTGTTGATTCATCATAAACTTTCCTAGAGTCCTTTCTTGAACATTTCATTGAAGATTTCGTTCTGAAATCGTGATTATTTATAAATTTAGATGTATATTACAAAATATAAACTACAAAATAATGAGTAGTTACTATCTATTTTATAATTTGTAATATTTACCTTTGAGAAAGTGGCATAAGGTTTGGAAGAGGTCTCTGGCCTGAGAGTTGAAGATTTATATCTTCAAAGAGATTAAAATCAGGAATATTCAAATTTGATGTAGGCTCTTCTTTCTTAATTTGATTATTATTTTTCATAAGTTCTTCTTGATTACTTAGGATATCATTTCGTAAAGGTAATAGTTCTTCCTACAAAAGAAATGTTTGGATAAATATAAAATTAAATTACACTACATTTTTACAAATGAATATTACTTACTTCCTTTCGCATAATATTTCTTCTACAAGTTGCAATATGATTCCAATATAATGTTTTTGTGCAAAATTGTTTTCTACAATTCTTACAAAAGAAATTCATTTTTCCACGCATTCTTCTCTGTTCATCTTGTTTTAATCTTTTAAACATTCTTTCTGGATCTGTATTATGCATATTTCGATAATGTTTTGAGAGGGCATCGCTATTTACGAACATTTCTGGACACATCTCACAATCAAACGTATCTGTTAAGGATCTTCTTCTCTTTGAATCACTGGAATCTTCATCACACATATCTACATCATACTCCAAATCTTCCGGTTCTTCTTTAACTATTATATCGGTAGACTAAAAGAAAAGTAATTAATTTTACTCGAATATATTTAATGTCTTGTGTATATTTATATTAATTTGTATAAAAATATTAAGTATAATTTTATATAATTTATATTAAGTTCTATAATTAATTTATTATTAACATACCTCTATTTCAAAATCTTCATTTTTTGATCCAATGTCCAATCTATGTTCAAATGCAGCAAGTTGATCTTTGGAAATATTATGTACCGTTTCATAATGATCTCTAATTGCAGAATCTTCAGTGAAAACAGCTAAACATTGTTTACAAGTTCTAAATACTTTTCCATGACACTTTTTAGTATGATCAAAAGCTTTCCACTTTGAAGCATATTGTTTTCCACAAACTTGACATGTGTTAGGTCTTGAAAGAACACTGGAATGAACTTCTTCCACGTGATTTTTAAGCTCTTTCGGATCCTTCATTGGAATTAAACATACTCCACAAGATACACCAATTTCGTTGCGATGAAGAGATAACACATGCATCTTTAGTTTTAATTTATTTTCAACAGTATCACCACAGAAATCACAAACATTGGGAGTCGTATGATACCTTTAATAAAACAAAGTTATTTATAATCAGTTGTGTACAGTATAAAATATTTTTATTTCAGCAAAAAAAATATTAATGTTACATACCTATGGTCTTTTCTATGAGCTTCTAAATCTTCTTTAGTCCTAAACAATTTTCTACAAGATCCAAAGTTACAAGTTAGATCTGGGTGATCCATATGCTTCACCCTATTATGTGTCATAATTCCTAATTTTGAAGTAATTGTTTCATTGCAAAGATGACATGTGTATGTACTATGATGATTTTCAATATGTTTTTGTAAACTGGCACGATCTTTAAATATTCTTTCACAAGCTCTACACCTTGTTAATAACGCTCCAGGATCTTTCCTATAATTTTGACATCCTTTCATATGTCTACGCAAAAGATATCGCTTATGAAACCCTTTATTACACTTTTCACAATAATGTAAACTAACTTCTTCGGTTTTAAATTGTCTATTATCTTTCCCATCTTTTCTAGAGTCAGGTTCGTATCTATGAATTTTTGAGATATGTGCTGCTAGATGATCTTTTGATGCACTAGTTTTCAAGCAATAAGGACAAGTGACATCTTCATGACCTTTGTGAACTCTATTTACATGTTTCCATAAATGTGATGTTCTTCCATAGCATTTATTACAGAGATCACAAGGGAAAAGTCCATGGACGATTCGTCTATGATTACATAATTTTTCTAAACTAGTAAACTTTAAATCTGCGCAAAGTTCACAACTTAATTCCGTTTCTCTCATTCGTCCATCTACTTTATTTTCACTATTTTCTGCTCCATTATCGCAACTTTCTTCAAACCCATGAATTTTCCTATGTCTGGACATTTTGGATTTATTTGAATATGGTCTCCCACAAATGTCACAACTAAAATCACCATTTGTTAATGGCCAGTGTTTCGATCTTACATGAGTACTTAATTGCAATACATTGGGAAACACTTTTAAGCAAACGCCACAAATTAATGGAACAGTATCCGAATGAACACCCATAACATGCTTCCAATAATCAACTCTACTGCCCCAAAGTTTACCACAAATTTCACAAGTATTTGGAGATGAACCCTGAATTGCATGATGCTGAATATGTTCGTTTCTAAGAGATTTTGTAGCAAAAATTTTACCACAGTCTTCACGATCACATTTTATAGCTGATTCATTACTATGTGAAGAGCTAACGTGTAACCAGCGTTCCCATTTACTAGGATGTGAACTACCACAGAGTTCACAAACAAAGAAGAGATGATATTGAGCTCTATTTCCACCACCATTTAAATTCGATGGATTTAAAGGATCTGTTGACACTAATTGTTCTGACTGAGAAATTAAAAAATTCTGTTAATATAAACATTGTAAAACAAAGTTAGGAAAAAATTTGTGTACTATATTTACTTAAATAGTTTATTCTTATCATTACTCTTACCCTATGGGCATTTCTTTGATGTCGTATCAAATGATCTTCATTAGGAAATGATTTATAACAAATATAACAATCCACTTTATCTCCATCTTCTTCATAGTCAAGGATTTGCTCCGCCGTTTCGTTACCATTAATATTCTCTCCATAATAATTACTATTTAATTGAACAAAAGTTGCAGGATCATAATTTGGATCCACATTATGTATAGATACATGTGCAATTAATTTTTTTCTAGAATCATGTTGTCTACCACAAATAGTACAACTATATCTGTTAATAGTAAAAATAAGAGTAATCATAAATTTGTCATTATTATTGATTATTTAAATAATTTGGAAAGGAAATACCTTCTTTGTTCAGAAAGTAATAATTTTGAACCACCATGGTACATATTCACATGATTCAAAAGTTGCGTATTGTCTGCACAAATTTTTAAACAAACGCCACATGCAAATGCCGCAAATTCTTTGTGAGTAGCACGAATATGAAGCCAGAGTGATGCACGATCATTAAAATCACGAGTACAAATTTCACAAACAAATACTGTTTCAATTTCAATGAGATTTTCTTGTCCACTCTCATGGTCTTCTTCATTTTCTGCATTTGTCTAAAATTGAAAAAGAGAAAATAAAAATGAAATAAATAATTTTATTTTTTCTAATTTAACAAAATTTATTTTATATACTACAAAATGTACCTCTGGAGATAATGGAAATTCAGAAGAGGTTTTACCCTCATATAAATCAAGATCCATAGATTCATTCCAATTTTGTGAAACAATTTTTTTTAGACATTTATCGCTTTCTACTATAGAACATGGATCAACACCATGTAACATTTGAATATGCCTGCTTAAAGAGGATTTAAGAGCAAAATCTTTTTTACACAAAATGCAAATAAATGGTTTATCAACATCGTGAATTGCTTCATGCTCTTTTAAATTCTCAACTGAAGCAAAACATTGAGGACAAGATTCACAGTACCATTTTTTAATACTTTGAATATCAGTGTGCTCTGTTAAATGAAAGAAAAAAAATATTTTTGAAATTAAATCTTTTCACATTTAAATATTATTTATATATACTCGCATGAATATTATTTTGTAGTTAAAAGTATGTGACATAATATATCAATTACCTGTTTTTGGTAACTTTTTTGGTTTGCAATTTGTTGTAAATTTATCTTCAAAATCACGCTTAAGGCTATCTCCTTTCGTTAATGCTTGTTTTAAAATTGTCAATTGAGGATTCTTCGCTAATTTAGCTTCTGCACTTCTAAATTATAAAATAATTTTCATGTTTGAATAATTTTAAACAATTTTTGCAATAAAACTTTAAAGTACTTTACTTAGTAATAAAATTAGTTATACCTATAATCTTTGCCATCATCATCACTACCAGTACTTGAAACTTCAGAACTATCCATAACTTTATTATCCCTAATTTCATTTTTTCCTGGAACATCTAATCTCTGTCCTTCAGTGCAAATCCTACCATGGAGATTCAATTCCATAGCATCTGTGCAAATTTTTCCACAAGCATTGCATTGACACCTATTTTCCGGACGATAGGCATTGTTGAGTGGAACTTCCGTAGGTGCTGGAAGACCAGCGTGACGTGACTTTATATGTTCTTCCAAATTTGTCCGGGTTGAGTAGATTCGGGAACAATAACCGCATGTCACTGCCGGATGGCCTCTAATGCAAGCATTATTATATCATCATTGTTATTATTATTACAACTATGATATAAATATCTATCACATATATTTATATAATTTTTTTTAAGCTAATGTTTCTCTTTTTCTGTTTAAAACACCATTTTGGCTTTTTCCTAAAATTATTCTTATTGATTTTTTTTATATATGTTTTGTAGCTATAATTATAAGAATTATAAAACACACACCTATGAGTTGTAGAAACATGACCCCAACGATGTTTTGCAGTAGAATATGATTTATGACAAAGATCACACTGATAAGGTCTTTTGTAAGATGTATGGTCATCTGTAAGAACTTTTTCACCAATTACATCACCAGCACCAACATGAATACGTGCGTGTAATGACAAATGACCCTTGGAACTAAATGCTTTGTTACATAAAGAACAAACATAAACTTCATGTTGTTGAGATGTATGCTGTAATAATGTAAATCATCAGATTTCATTAATAGCAAAACTAAATTTGATTTTCAATTAAATTTAAGTACAGTATACCTCTGGTAAATTACTAGAAAGTTCCTGATGTCTCAATTCTGATTCTTCAGGTTCTTCTGTAACTATTGAGGTCATTTCCAGAAAATCACTTGGATTTGTTTCCATATCCATTTCATACTCTTCTGAATGACGATCTTCAGAGTCATCCACTATCGTTGCTGAAATAATTAAAAAAGAAGAAAGGAAAAACAAAAAAAAATATTATTTTTTAATAAAATACAGAAACTTTACCAAAATTTTTCATAAATTGAAGTAAAAAGGGTACCTTCATCTGTGCCACTGTTATCAATAATTTCTTCTGTTTCATGATCAGCCTCTCCATCAGAATTTAATCTGGGTGGTGTGCCTAAGGCAGCATTTGGATTCACAATAGGTGCTTCTGGAATCAACACTGGTATACTTTTCCTTCCTTTAAAAAACTCTGAATCATTACAACACATCAAAGTGGTTGTAACATTTCCATTCTAAAGAATGAAAAAAGATAAGTTGCTTTACATATTTGAAATTAAAAAAAGAAAACAAACTTTTAAAAGATCAAATAAACTTCAATTTTACCGATTCTGAAGGTGACAGACACCTTTCCAAAAGAGCCACTGCATTAACACATGCTGTCCTAAAATCATAGAAATTCTCCAAATTGTACATACACCGATAACAAAGAGATTTTGGTAGTCGATCATCTTCTGCAATCTGAAATTTAATATGCAGTATTAATCTTTTCAGTTATATAAAAACAAAAACAAGTTTTAATTAACAAATAAATGAATTTAATAAAATAAGTAATAAAATCTTTAATACAATCAATATATCAATCAACTACTAAGAGCAAAATAAATAATATACACAAAAATTGATGCTATTACAATTAACACTGTTCATTCTAATATTATAATGAACATGATCCCAGTACAATTTGGCAATGATGTAACAGATACAACTAAGAATTATATAACTTGTAAGCTTTTACTGATTGACATACGCACAATGTAGAAAATAAAAACAATATGGCATTAATGGACATTTAAAAAATAAATGTTTGGAATATACAACATAAAATATAAAATAACACAACAAAATTTCTAAAGTAAACTAAAAAGAAAAAAGCTAGAAGAAAGGAAGAAGAAAAGAAAAATATTTGAACTAAATGTTAAAGCAATGCAAAATTGAATTTTTTTTTAAAGAAAAATCTTGTATATTAAAGTATATTAAATAATCAAAAATAAAATAAAAAGCAGGTACAACATACGATAAATTGAATTTCAAAAAGAATAAGATATGTTTTAAAGTATACATAACATGGAAATATATTAATTAAAGAAATTTTAAAAAATTAATAAGTAACAAATGAAACTATTGACATAAAAGTCATTTTAAAAATATTAAATGATATATTGTCTAAATAATAATGTATTGAAACATATTTAAAGGAGAGAATTATAAATATAAACATTTAAATATGAATCAAAATATGTAATATTAAAATTGTAATATTTTTAGTGAAAATATAAAATTATATAAAAATACGTAGTAAAAATAACGAATTAAATAAAAGATATTAATTTAATCAAATAAAAATTAATAACGAAAACAATTCTTATCGTAATATGATGAACGATCGCGAATCAAAATGACATTTTTCAACAACGAAAAATGATACGTAATAAATATGTTTTCTGTTAAAAGAGAAAACATGTATGTATAACACAAAACAATTCTTTAAAAAATCTAATAAAAAATTACAGGAAAAATATTAATAAGAGCTAAAACAAAAAAATGTTATTTTAAAAATAAAACGAGGAACTCAAAATTAACAAAAAATTAATAGGTTTTCAAAAACTAAATAATTTATTTTTTACGAAACCAAACGCAAAAATGAAATTGATTGAATTTTTGGAATCGAAAATATGAAAGACAAAATGCAGTATTAAATCAAATAACTCTATATAATCAAGAACTGCATTCACAAAACATATAAAAATAAAAAAAACATGAATAAAAAACATTTTTGACATAAATAAGCGAATGCTAAATTGAATCATAAGTTTCACATTGAATAAGAAATATTTTGAAAACATCAAAATGATGCATAATAAAAAGCGTCTGACGCATAAAAAGTCTATGCTGTAGAGTAAAGAAAACCAACCTTAAACGGCAGACAAGCTTGTATCTTGTCAACGAGTTGTCTGTTCTTGCCCTCTTGACCGAAGATGTCCATCTTGACGGCGTCGTAGGATGCGCAAAGTCTGCAGAGCTCCTGGTAGCGTTCCCTGGACTCCATCGTCGGCGTGGCCACGAAGATGATCACGATACTAACCCGAGGAAGTTGGATAATCCGGATTTCCTCGTGGCAGTGTAGAAAAGGCTCCTCTGGCCCGGACTCGGCCTTCTTCTTCTTCTTCCTCGGATCACATCCTTCGGAGCGGGGATCCGCGGCTCGCTGCGACACCGCGCGGCTTCCGTTTACGGGCTACTTCCTGGCGATTTTCACGACAGTTAAGCCCCCGGGCGCCGCCATCTTGTACACAGACACTTGTTCCGTCGGTCCTGTCGAGTATGACCTCCTCCATGTCGCTAGGTATCTTGTGCTTCGGCAGAAATATCCGGTGATTTTTCGACACTTTAGAAACCACGAATTGTATTTTGGCTTTATATAAGGTCCAGTTCATATTGAATTGATTTCTGCAACTTCATTGTGGATTTTCAATGGATCTTGTGGTTTACTGACAAGCAATTTGATTGGTTTTTAATTATCTAGTTATTGTTGTTTGTACATTGATAATTTTATTCAAAAGATGTTGAAATATTATTATTAATTATAATTATTTTCATTATATTTTATATTTTATATTAAGTATAAAAACATACATGAAAATTAATGAAATAATAATTATTTATATTATGTATTTTTGTATACGTGTATATATATGCATGTTGACATATATGTATTATGTAATATAAATACAAAACATTAATATTTGCATAAAATCAATAATCTGCATCAGTGATTCATAAAAGAAAGAAATATAGATATTTAACATCTATTTTTTATGTTATAGTTCTTTAAAGGTACAATATTATACATTTTATCCTAATTATATATATGAAAAAATGATTAATGATAAAA